TTTTTTTAATGTTGACTTTATTTAGACGAAACAGAACTTTTTACTTGTGTTTCACACACAAAAATGTGAAAACACTCCATTATCATCATCAACTGGTTAAGCACTAGCACTATACCAAGGACTCTCTCTGAATGTTGGTCCCCATGATTAGGAGCAGCAATTATCACTCCCCTTCAATTCTTGCATTTTCAGCATTACCAGAGTGACTGTAAGTTTTTTTCCAGATTTATGAAGAATTTTGTGACTATCACAAAGCACAATTCACTTCATTATAATTAGCAACTCAGAGAAAACATATGTATATGCTTTATGCTCTTTATCTCATCTTTCAAAATGTTTATATTAATAAAATTCATAAAAAAGCCTAAAAGCGTATTTTATTTAGACAATTTTGTGACAAAATAAAAATGCAGTATCTGTATCAGTAGGGAATACTTAAACTTGGATTAACAATGTGAAATATCTCTTATCAATCCAAGTCATTCCAGGCCAGACCTCAGAATCCATCAAGCTTATAAAATAAGAAAAGAATAACTGGCTTAGTTGACAAAGTGAGATTAATAAAATCTTCTCAGAACTTAATACAATTAACTCATAAAAGAGGAAGGTTTAATCTAAATATTACCTGGTTTAAAGATCTTACTGACTTTTTGGCTATGTTACCTCCAAACCAGCTTTTGAGAATAGATTTACTAATTAACTGACTTCTGACACTTGTGATTAACAGTCAATCATTGAATATAAAGCACCATGAAATAATGCATGTTCACTTACAGTACATAATAGACCCATCTTATAAGACAATTGTCACAGCCAAACATTTGAACAAAAACTTCATGTAAAAGGAATGAAATCAATGCACATTTATAGTACAGGACATCAGAATTATTTCAGTTAAAAGTCTTATCCTCAAAGTTTCCAAAACTATGCCAGAGTCAAAAGTCTGCTTTAAAGCTTTTCAAGTAAGAGCTAATAGTCAGCTGTTTCTACTTTAAAAAGAAATTCCAGTGAGATGGACATCTGTATTCCGTATCTATCAAGTTTACTCAGTGTGTGGCCACAGGTGTTGGCCCTGGTACTGTAGAAGCCAAGGAAGAAAGGCAAAAGTAACTGGTATTAAAAGAAGGCACACAATATTCATTTCATGAAATTAATTTTAACTCTTAGAAGCACAACATTTTTTCTCTGATTTGATTTTCACTATATCCAGAAAACGAGGAAATGGATGATATTTTCTACAAAGTTAAAGGTTATGACCCTTTCATCTAGCATTCTTGAAAACTGTAGAGTCTGACAAAGAGGTATAACTGACAGGGAGACATTTGCAAACCTAAGGGGGTGTTTATGGAAAGGCTGGACAGTAGATGATATTTGTGGTAGGGGGATGGTTGGACCAGATGATCGTGGAGGTCTCTTCCAACCTTAATGATTCTATGATTCTAAGTAACATTTTGTCGTGGTTTAACCCGGCCGGCAGCTAAACACCACGCAGCCGTTCGCTCACCCTCCCCCCTCCCTCTCTGGGACGGGGGAGAGAAATGGAAAGTGAAGCCCGTGAGTTGAGATAAAGACAGTTTAATAAGACAGGAAAATAATAATAACAAAATAATAATAACAATAATAACAATAATAATAATATGGTGATAATAGGGAAATAATAATAATATGTACAAACAAGTGATGCACAATGCAATTGCTCACCACTCGCTGACCGATGCCCAGCCTAACCCCGAGCAGTCCGGCCCCCTTCCCCCGGCTAGCCACCCCTATATATTGTTTAGCATGACGTCAGATGGTATGGAATACCCCTTTGGCTAGTTTGGGTCACCTGTCCGGGGTCTGTCCCCTCCCAGCTCTTACTGCACCCCCAGCCTGCCCGTTGGCAGGACAGAGCAAAAGGCTGAGATGTCCTTGGCTTAGTATAAGCACTGCTCTGCAACAATTAAAGCATCGGGGTGTTATCAGCACTCTTCTCATCCTAAGCCAAAACACAGCATTCCACCAGCTACTAGGAAGAAAATTAATTCTGTGCTAACTGAAACCAGGACACATTTCCACTACTTAAATATTTCTGCATGAAGAATACCATCATTAAAGTATTTTTAAAAAGCAATTAAAAAAATAAAATATTAAAAAAATAAGATCCACTAATTAAAATGTCAAGAGTTTATGATTTCCTTTAGCCAATCCGATAATCCATAAATCTGAAGGTTTTTAGGCAACATGTTTTATAACATAGCTAGCAAATATTTGAGTAGGATGTTACACGCACATACACAAAAAATAGGTTACCATAAATTCTAGGAAGTAAAACTAAAAAAAAAAAGTATGTGTGACACTTCAAGCATGTATTAAATGATCACAGAATCACAGAATTTCTAGGTTGGAAGAGACCTCAAGATCATCGAGTCCAACCTCTGACCTAACACTAACAAGTCCTCCACTAAACCATATCACTAAGCTCTACATCTAAACGTCTTTTAAAGACCTCCAGGGATAGTGACTCCACCACTTCCCTGGGCAGCCCGTTCCAATGCCTAACAACCCTCTCAGTAAAGAAGTTCTTCCTAAGATCCAGCCTAAAACTCCTCTGGCACAACTTTAGCCCATTCCCCCTCGTCCTATCACCAGGCACGTGGGAGAACAGACCAACCCCCACCTCGCTACAGCCTCCTTTAAGGTACCTATAGAAAATGATAACATCTCCCCTGAGCCTCCTTTTCTCCAGGCTGAACAAGCCCAGCTCCCTCAGCCGCTCCTTGTAGGACTTGTTCTCCAGACCCCTCACCAGCTTTGTCGCCCTTCTCTGGACTCGCTCGAGCGCCTCGATGTCCTTCTTGTAGCAAGGGGCCCAAAACTGAACACAGTACTCGAGGTGAGGCCTCACCAGAACCGAGTACAGGGGGACAATCACCTCCCTAGCCCTGCTGGCCACACTGCTTCTTATACAAGACAGGCTGCTGTTGGCCTTCTTGGCCCCGTGAGCACACTGCTGGCTCATATTCAGCCAACTATCAACCAATACTCCCAGGTCCTTCTCTGACAGGCAGCTTTCCAACCATTCCTCTCCCAGTCTGTAGTGCTGCTTGGGGTTATTGTGCCCCAGGTGCAGGACCCGGCACTTGGCCTTGTTGAACTTCATACAGTTGGTCTCAGCCCATCAGTCCAGCCTATCCAGATCCTCCTGCAGAGCCTTCCTACCCTCGAGCAGATCACACACGCACCTAGCTTGGTGTCATCTGCAAACTTACTGAGGGTGCACTCAATGCCCTCATCCAGATCATTGATGGAGATATTAAAGAGGACTGGCCCCAGTACCAAGGCTTGGGGGACGCCACTAGTGACCGGCCTCTAACTGAATTTGACTCCATTTACCACAACTCTTTGGGCCCGGCTATCCAGCCAGTTTCTAACCCAATGAAGCGTATGCCAGTCCAAGCCAGGAGCAGCCAGTTTCTTGAGGAGAATGCTGTGGGAAACAGTGTCAAAAGTCTTGCTGAAGTCAAGTAGACCACATCCACAGCCTTTCCCTCATCCACCCAGTGCATCACTTTGTCATAGAAGGAGATCAGGTTTGTCACGCAGGACCTGCCTTTCATAAACCCATGCTGACTGGGCCTGATCACTTGGTTGCCCTGCAAGTGCCACTTGATGACACTCAAGATAATCTCCTCCATGAGCTTCCCTGGCACTGAGGTCAAACTGACAGGCCTATAGTTCCCCGGGTCTGCCCTCTGGCCCTTCTTGTAGATGGGCGTCACGTTTGCTAGCCGCCAGTCGACTGGGGCCTCCCCCGATAGCCAGGACTGCTGATAAATGATGGAAAGCGGTGTGGCCAGCTCCTCCGCCAGTTCTCTCAGTACCCTCGGGTGGATCCCATCCGGCCCCATCGACTTGCACACATCCAAGTACCGTAGCAGGTCGCCAACCATTTCTTCGTGGATAGTGATTCATCCTGCTCCCCATCCCCTTCTGCCAGTTCAGGGTACTCAGTATCCAGAGAACAACTACCCTTGCCGCTAAAGACTGAGGCAAAGAAGGCATTAAGCACCTCCGCATTTTCCTCATCTTTTGTAACAAGGTTTCCCCCTGCATCCAGTAAAGGATGGAGATTTTCCTTAGCCCTCCGTTTTGCGTTGATGTATTTGCAAAAAGATTTTTTGTTTTCTTTAATGGCAGTAGCCAGATTGAGCTCCAGATGAGCTTTGGCCTTTCTAATTTTGTCCCTGCACAGCCTCGCAACATCCGTAAAGTTCTCCTCAGTTGCCCACCCTTTTTTCCCAAAGATTATAAACCCTCTTTTTTCTCCTAAGCTCAAGCTGCAACTCTCTGTTGAGCCAGGCCGGTCTTCTTCCATGCCAGCTCGTCTTTGGGCACGTGGGGACGTGCACGTGGGCTCCTGTGCCATTAAGATTTCCTTCTTGAAGAGCGCCCAGCCTTCCTGGACTCCTCTGCCTTTCAAAACTGCCTCCCAAGGGACTCTACCAACCAGTGTCCTGAGCAGCTCAAAGTGATCAATGATCTCTATGTTTGTGATGGAAGCAATTTTAATTCCATTTTCTAGCATCTAATTATATTTTCCAGATTTTCTGTTACGTAACACAAGTGAATATTGAATATACCACTAATATTGAAGTCAGCTAGTATTTTCCAAGTAAGGGGCCATAACAGCTCTAGAACATAAGACAGTGTTAAATATGCATCTATTTGGCAAATCAGTGGTTTTATTTTAATTTCTATGAAATTGATCATTCTACAGTTATGTGATTTGAGTGACAGTGATGCAGACTATTAAATCTATATTAAATCTATATAAATCTATATTAAATCTATATTCCTGCTAACATCAAAATCAGGCTGATTTGAAGGCCCTTAAAATTCTTCAAATCCAAAAGATCTGGAGCAGGCCTGAAGATACTTACCAGAGGAATTGCTGAACATACTTCACACAAAACATCCCTGAACACAGCAAGATACTACAAGAAATAAAATGAAATTACCTGGATCATCTTGTAATGATCTTGATATTTAAGTAGCTTTTCTTTTTTATCCTTCAAGAAATTCATTTCTAGAATACTGTTTTCTTCCAGTAAATATTCTAATTCCTACAAAGGTTAGAAAATAAAATATGGAAAATTACAAACATTTTTGAATTGTGAAAATACAGATTCAGGTTATCATTCCAACTAGTTTCATTTCTGAAGATACACCATTTCCTATCATAACTTCATAACAAAAACTGTAATTTTGAGAAGCATAAGGTATTTGAAGTCATTATTTTCATATTTTTAATGGCTTCTGGTTTTATACATTTGAAACACCTATTAAACATACTTTTAGAAAACGTTTTCTCTCCAAAGGCAGTAATTCTGTTCCATACAGCCCTAATGATCTCTACCTACAGTTCCAGAATTACTAGAATTTTAACATCTTGTTCTTGTATCCCCCCTGCAAGAGCCAAGGGAGAGGAAGGAGAATGACCCTACTGACTAAACTTCAAAATTATTTGCTGTAGAAAGGGCTAGAGTTTTACATGCAGATGTTGCTCCTACCAAACCAATTCCTATAGGCAAGCTGCTGGCACCTTTTCAGTTGCTCAAAAGCAACTATTTTTGCAGCCCCGCAAGAAGCCAATTAAGAAACCTGCCAGATCACTGTACAGCTATTCAAACAAAAAGCAAAACAGAAAGGGTCAGAAGGAGGACAAGAGGAGCAGGTATGTTTAGTTCAGTCCTGCTTTTGGATGAAATAAGAACAGTTCTTGAGATTCAAAGTCTGATTCAACTGTAGGAATAGAAACACATTTCACAACTCTTTTTCATTTACAGCCCAGCTCTCAGTATCTACTCTTAAAGTCTATGCTTATAGACTTATACCTTACCAACCTTCTTCCATGCTTAACTCCTAGAAACATCAACCCACTCCAGGCCTTCCTATTCTTGGCTCATCCCCATACTTATTTTCATTTCCAACAATCCATTTCCTTCTTCCATAGCACATCTTGATAGCTATCAATGAACACAGTATTAAGAATACAAGAAATTAAACCTTCTTACTCTCCAGTGTCTCATTGACCTCTGACCAGCTTAGACGCATAACTACACGCATAGTCCTACTTGGTACTCTACCATATTTGGTGTGGAAGCACCACGAAGAGTTTAGTTACCAGCACTCCTGGAGGGAGGGGAGGAAGTATTACATATTATGTTCATATAGATAGCCAAAGGCACTTTCAACTTCAGTGACCGCATGCTCACTCCCAAAACATGAACGAGCCATTATAAATACTAACTACATAGCTTTATGCTGAGACATCTTGTCTTTCTCTATATCTTAAAAAAAAAAAAGGGGGGGGGGGGGGGGGGACAAATAACTTTTTTCCTAAAATTTAAGATTTATTGCAAAAGATTTGACATGAAGAAAAAGTATTTTTGCTGAATTTGGATAATTTATTTTAAATTTGCCTATTTTCTCCCAAAACAAATTATAAATCTGACAGCTCAAACTATACTTAAATTCCATATAAATGTCAAATATTTATATAAAAAAACAGTCATACCTTTTTTGTTTTTATTTTTTCTTCTTCAGCAGTGCAAAGCTTGGTTTCTAGGTTTGCTACAGTTTGTTGAAGAGAGCTCTTCAATTCATTTTGCCTCTTTGTCTCATTACCATCCGTACCAATGGCCGACGTGACTTCACTTAAATTCAAAGAGGCAACTTGAATATCTACTTGATTCTAAAGGTAAAACATAAAAGGGAAAAGGGAATTTAACATTCAAGTCAAATTTTTATTTCCAAATGAAATTATAGATTTAAAAACTATAAACACCAAGGTTATTTATTTGTAACCACAATTCTCTGAAGTTATCCATGCACACACGTGTTCTATGTGCTGGCCAAGAAGAAAGGTCCAACAACAGAACAGTAGCTAGTAATTCTACTAGCATTCAGATCAATCTTTCCAATTTCCTCAGAGCTTTTCAAGAAACACTTTGGAGAAGGCTTTAAGAAGGAGGATATCAGATATCTCAGTTCTGAATGAAGTCAAAATACTAAAGAGAGGTGAGAAAGGGACAAAAATGAAACAAATCACTGGTCTCAAAGACTCAGACTTACAGCGAAATAAACTCTTCTTGGATTAGTCAAACTTACGTTTTTGCCCAATGCAGACTACAAACAGCAGCCGTGGTAAGGTAAGTGATTAAAAAGGATTCCAATTACAAAACAGATTTTTATTTTCATTTTTCTAAAATTAATATACTGAGGCTTGACTAAGAGAATAAGAGTAATCAGGACATGCCTAGAACAGTTAATACTATTTTAGTAAATTGTACAAGTGCAGGAATTGAAACAAAGGTTTCTTGAATATACAACTGAAAACAGATGGAACATAAACAAGACTGTATTTTCAGCAAAGCACAAAAATAAATTAGGTGAAATTTAAAATATTTTGTATTATAATTAACAGAAATTTGAGTTGAACCCTCCCACCCCCACAATTATATAATCATTACTTGTTTATATAGCAACAAATTCCAAAGAAAAGAGATGGCAAATTAACTTAAACTACCATTTTTATTCTAGCTTTTTGAAAGCCAAGAGCACTTGAGATTTGGGGTAGGATGGTAAAAGAAACATCTCAGTATGTGTTGTTTGTTTTTTTTTTAAGACAGAATTGATGGATATGATTTAATTAATTCCCCTAACACCTTTTATTCCAGACAAACTTTCAAATAATTGACTTTTTGGTTACTGAATAAGCATCTCTAGAGTCAAAGGAAAACAAACAAAATAACAGGGCTCAGTATTAGGGTCAGTCCTATTTAATATCTTTATTGATGATCTGGATGAGGGCATTGAGTGCACCCTCAGTAAGTTTGCAGATGGCACCAAGTTAGGTGCATGTGTCGATCTGCTCAAGGGTAGGAAGGCTCTGCAGGAGGATCTGGATAGGCTGGACCGATGGGCTGAGACCAACAGTATGAAGTTCAACAAGGCCAAGTGCCGGGTCCTGCACCTGGGGCACAACAACCCCAAGCAGCACTACAGACTGGGAGAGGAATGGTTGGAAAGCTGCCTGTCAGAGAAGGACCTGGGAGTATTGGTTGATAGTTGGCTGAATATGAGCCAGCAGTATGCTCACGGGGCCAAGAAGGCCAACAGCAGCCTGTCTTGTATAAAAAGCAGTGTGGCCAGCAGGGCTAGGGGCTAGATCATCCCCCTGTACTCGGTTCTGGTGAGGCCTCACCTCGAGTACTGTGTTCAGTTTTGGGCCCCTCGCTACAAGAAGGACATTGAGGTGCTCGAGCGAGTCCAGAGAAGGGTGACCAAGCTGGTGAAGGGTCTGGAGAACAAGTCCTACAAGGAGCAGCTGAGGGAGCTGAGATTGTTCAGTCTGGAGAAAAGGAGGCTCAGGGGAGACGTTATCATTTTCTATAGGTACCTTAAAGGAGGCTGTAGTGAGGTGGGGATGGGTCTATTCTCCAATGTTCCCAGGGATAGGATGAGGGGGAATGGGCTAAACTTGCACCAGGGGAGGTTTAGGTTGGACATTAGGAGGAACATTTTTACTGAAAGGGTTGTTAGGCATTGGAATGGGCTGCCCAGGGAAGTGGTTGAGTCACCAACCGTGCAGTCTTTAAAAGAAGTTTAGATGTAGACCTTAGTGATATGGTTTAGTGAAGGACTGGTTAGCGTTAGGTCAGAGGTTGGACTCAGTGATCTTGGAGGTCTCTTCCAACCTAGATGATATTGTGAATAGAGATCTTGTCTATACGTAGATGCACGAGATCCAGTAGATAAAGCAGACACAGAAAACTGCAGTTTGTGCTCTCAATTTCCCTTCCATCAGAAACAGAGAGAAGTTTAGTGTGCTAATCCTACTTCTGAGTAATACATCAATCTTAAGTCTGGCGCTTGCAAAAATGGTGACATTGGACCTTGCAAAGGTGAACTTTAATATAAGATTTCAAGAGATGCTGAAGACACAGCTATAGAAAAATACAGTTCTCTTAACATCTCCCAATAGGCAAAAAAATACTTTATTATAGTTTTATGCCCACCACTCTCCTTAAATCTTATTCACAAGGGCAGTGTCTGACCTCCATTTCAAAATAACGTTAAGAAACTTATCAACTTCTCTTCTCTCTTTCAAAATGCTTCATAATGTTGTATTCTTTAGTTTGTATTATTTTCTACATTAAAAAGACAGCAAATTGTTTTTATGAAGCATGGGTCTGTCCAGAACAAAATATGAGAATGACTAAAAACCATCCTGAAAACAGAATTTCAGAATGATTATTCAGAAGTAGGAAAGCATATTATGTATTTTCAGTAAGACTACCCTATCAGATATTTCTTAGCTTAAAAAAATGCACCTAGGCCTTAATATTCTGGAATATCTAAAGTACTCTTTACAGAGAATAGAGAATTGAGGTAAAAGCTAAAGATTCTGGCCTAGCTCAAACAGAAAGGATACAGACTGTTCATATTTCACTGTTAGCTGATATCAAAAAGTAGGATCTGTTGTGGCTGAAAAAAAGCATATTTTCATCATCCTGCTCGCAACAGTAACTGGCTGATCAAAACATTGTTAGGGAGGTAGATGAAGAGCTTAAGGCAGAAAATTACCCTGTATGGCACCAGGGGAAAAAAAAAAAAAAAAAAAAAGCTGTATCAATTCTCAGCAGAATTTCAGCTACAAGGGGAGATCAAGATGACAACTAAGACTTTTTTTTTTTTTTTTTTTTTTTAGTTTTGTGATCTGCCACAATCTTTAAACTCATGCAGGAAAAAAACAGAACTGAAAAAAATAACGATATAAAATATGTCTCAAAACCATGGTGGTAGATTCTCCTGGAAATTATGCTAAGGCACATGGAAAACAAAGAAGTGATTAGTGACAGCCAACATAGCTTCGCTAACGGCAAATTATGCCTGACAAATCTGGTGGCCTTCTACAATGGGTAGAAGCACAGGTCAAAAAGGGAAGAGCAACTGACATCATCTACCTGGACCTGTGCAAAGCATCTGATACAGTCCTGCACAACATTCTTGCTTCTAAATCAGAGGGACATGGATTTGACAGATGGACAACTCAGTGAATAAGAAATTGGCTGGCTGGTCACATTCAAAGAGTTACGTCAATAGCTCAACATCCAGGTGGAGACCAGTGATGAGTGGTGATCCTCAGTGGTCTGTATTGTAACTGTGATTATTTAATGTCTTTATCAGTGACATGGACAGTGGCATTAAGTGCACCCTCAGAAATTTTGCACATGACACCAGGCTGAGCAGTGCAGTTAACACACTGTAGGGAAGGGATGCCATCCATGGCAACCTTGGCAGGCTTGAGAGGTGCAAACCTCATGAAGTTAAAGAAGGCCAAGTGCAAGGTCCTGCACCTGGGTCAGGGCAGTCCCAAAATACAGACTGGATGGAGAATAAATCGAGAGCAGCCCTGAAGAGAGGGGTATCAGTGAACAAAAAACAGAACCTCAGCCAGCAATGTGCGCTTGCAGCCCAGAAAGCCAACCACATCCTAGGCTGCATGAAAAGAAGAACCATGCCCAGCAAGTCAAGGGAGGTGATTGTCCTTCTCTACTATGCTCTTGTGAGACCCCACCTGGAGTACTGCATTCAGCTCTGGGTCCCCCAAGATAAGAACAACATGGACATATTAAAGCAAGTCCAGAGGAGGGCCACAAAGATGATTAGAGGTTTGGAGCACCTCTGCTAATGAAGACAGACTAAGAGAGCAGGAGTTGTTCAATTTGGAGAAGAGAAGGCTCCCAAGAGGCCTTATAGCAGCCTTCCAGTACCTAAAGAGGGCCTAGAAGAAAGATGAGGAGATGCTCTTTATCAGTGAGTGTAGCAATAGAACAAGGGGTAATTGTTTTAGACTAAAAGAGGGTAGATTTAGATTAGATATTCAGAAGAAATTCTTTGTTATGAATGTAGTGAGGAACCGGAACAGGTTGTCCAGAGAAGCTATCAATGCCCCACTCCTGAAAGGGTTCAAGGCCCGGATGGGTGGGGCTTTGGACAACCTGATCTAATAGAAAACATCCCAGTATTCTGATTCTCTGAATATAAAAGAATAAAAATAAAAACAATTCCAATTAAGGAAAAAAAAAAAGTGTTAATTCTCTAATACTAAAACCACTTAAAAAACATAAAAAACATAAAATTATGACATATCTTTATAGCTGTAATCTCTACAGGTTTAGCAGCAATACAATAACCTTTCTTCTACTGTTTCCTACATTCATCCCTGGCATCATCAGCATGTCTTTAACACTGTAATAGCTCTTAAACACACATCTCTCTTGCAGTCCACACCAAACTAGTACAGTGTCTCCCAGTCAGAGGATTTAAACACCATTTGCTTACACTCCACACTCCTAAAGAATCAAAAATTATTTTACTTCAGAGTTTAACTAACAGAAATCATCTAAAGGACAGCTTTTGTTCTTAAAACATAATTAATCTAAATTTGCACATAAAAGATACAATGCCAAGATATTTAATACATAAAGTTTCCATATTGAAACAAAAATTGCTGCTTTACCTGTTCTTTAAGTACAGCTGGGTTTATAACATTGGCTGTTTGAATAGCCTTTGCCACATTATCATTTGATAAAGTGAATGAGTCAGGAGGAACCAGGCAGGATGAAGGCACAGAGTGCTCCAGAAGAACATCAGGAGAAATATTCTGAGATACATGGACTTCAGATACTAATGCAAGAAATAAAAACAAAACAAAAAACAAACATGAAGATGCATTCAAAAATTAACTCTGTTTCTGAAATTTAAACCTAGAAAAACACATCACAGTAGCAACAAGTAAAATAAAGTTTAAATATAATTAATACTGGAGTGTAAGTTCTTTCATAGCAATTTCCAGTTATGCCATTAAAGAAACTGTACAGAGGGTCATTATCAACCCATCACTACAGAAACTGGAGCATTTTTATGACAGACTCAGATACAAACTAAGAAAAAGGGGAAGAGAAAGCTTTGCACAAATTTTGAATGTAATAACAAAATCCCACAATCTTTTATATAGCCTTTAGGTATGCCTTTATAGAAGAGGAAAAAATGTTTACATTAAGAATCTAAATAAGGCTAAAATGTTACTTAACAAAACTTCCTAATAGAGCTAGTGACTCATCAGGCTATACAGAGATGAAATGACAACACTGCATTTGTCCAGTTCTTCACACTAAATATTTATTTCAGCCTGAGCAGCCATGTCTGTTAAATATTTTATAAAGCATAATAAATGTTAAGTCTGACGTTTTCTTTGAAATCATGTAATGACAACATGTTTATAATGCAAACCTGAAATTTCTGACAAGAGACCTTTCTGCTATAGATAATTACTTCTGTGCAAACAAAACATATATTCAGTTGCTTTAGAAGAAGCCACTCATGTTATCATTAATACATCAGCTGAACTGCAGATCCCACTATTGCTGAACAAGGCCCCTAAATATCATTGTTTAATGAAGTATACACACACAAAACAAACAAGCATATACATTCAACTAATGGCATTCAAAATGACAATCTATGCCTTGAAACCAGATATGCCGTATCCCATCTCCTTTACCTCCCCAGCTGTGGGATTCAGGTAAAGATACAGGAACATCCTTTATCTACCAAAAAGAAGAAAGAAAACAGACCACCAGACAGAAAAATATCAGGATCCTAATTGAAGCTCTCTTAATTCATTCTACTTGCACATACACTTCATGGAATTATATTAGTATTTTAGCTCAGCTCAAAATGTGCTTTTGGAGATGACCTTTCCATCTTTCCTGCTCACCATACTACTCCTATCATAATGGAACAGTTTGAGAACCCCCAAAACAAAGACTTCCCTAGGATAAAATTGCTAGACTGCATTCCAGTAACTAATGGTCCTTCAAGTCCACAGCACCAGGCTGCAATTAGTCTGCAGTAAGTCCTGAAGCTCATTAGTATGGATATGAACTCAAAGCCACTTTACAGATCCTGTCATCATCAATTGCTACACCACCTGCTATGACAGACAGCCACTCTGATATTAACAAAAAATTTATGCTTCCACAGTATTGTGCCCTGATTCTATACACACCCTTTAGCTTCAAGTAAGCTATGCAGTAGTTCTATAGTACTGATGAATTTCGAAAGAAAATATATATTGTTCATTGATAAAGCTACAGGATTATAAAGGAAAGGAGCACATATTCAATTGTCCAAACATATGTCAAATGTCATATACTCAAGAAGGCTTATATAAGATGTAAACGGCTGCCAGAGCTGAACTGATAATTTATTAACTTTTGACTTCACATTCTACAATATTCTACAATACGTTTGTATGTAAGAACTGACGAAGTCATGCACTTTATTATTAGAAGCAGAGATCAGTAAAAGCCTGTAATCCTTGCCTGCACAAGAAAAATTTATTTTCATCCCAGTAATGAAGTTTAAGGTTGCTTCTCTACATATACCAGTTTACAGCAGTAAATCAAAATACAAAGAGAAAAATCTTGAAATCTTTCAAGATGCTATCTTAAAGTTTGTTGCAAGAAGCTCTCCAAATTTTATTCTTCCAAAGAGAATCTATTCTAGAAAATAAGTAGATATAGTATTCCAATATCTGAACTCACAGCACATAGGGAAATATTAATTTCCTAAATTCTTATGTAAACCTTATAACAGCCACAAAATGTCGTAGATATTTAGTTGAACATTAGAAGAAAGTCTTTCAGTATTCAAATGACTACACAACATACAAAAAATGAGAAATCATTCCCAACATATTTAAAAAAATATGAAAAAGTATGCATAGGCCTTGTCAAAAACCTAATTCTAAAACAAATGGCAAAGGAATGTTGATAGCGATATAGCTTGTATGAGATAATATTGTCAGAGATCCTGTTAAAGTATAATTTTAAAAAAGTACTCTCATATCAAACCTAACATTATACTCTTCTTACACTGAAGGTCTCCTGGATTGCTTGTGCCCTGCTGTGTTGTCCTTCCAGCAGATCCTGGGGTGCTTAACATCTCCCATGAGGACCAGGGCCTGCAAATGTGAGGCTTCTTCCAGATAGCTGAAGAAGGCCTCATCTACAGCAGGCAGATGCAGCCATGTCAGCTATGTAGGCCTGTCCACTAATCCTGATCCTGACAGTACTTGACTGATCACCTCCCTCAAAACAGAGCTCTGTGCCTTCCAGCTTCTCTCTTACATCAAGGGCAACTCCTTGTCCTGGCCTTTGCTTCTTAAAAGGCATATGTGTACCCACTGCAGCATTTCAGTCATGTGACATATCCTCATCATGTTTCTATGATCCCAATGCACAGACTTCTAATTCCCCATTTGTTTCCCATGCAGTGTGTTTTGATGTACAGGTCACTTCAGAGAGGCGACCAGTTGTGCTTGTTTCCTAGAAACATGAGATCTTCCCCCATAATGCTGTTCCACAGGCATGTTATTATTTGTGTTTACACTTGCGGTGATACTCTTTCAGCCTTGTTTTGTTGATTACAGTTTCTATTCCTGCCAAGCCAGAAACTTTGCTTACAAACTCCACCATTTTCTCACTTAGTTGGTCTCTCCCTCCCTATTTCCTAGTTTAAAAGTGTTTTTTTTTTTTTTTTTTTTTGTGTGTGTGTGTGTGTGTGTTTGTTTTTTTTTTTTTTTAAGCAAACAAAAAAGAGTTGGAAGTATGTTGAGATGCACTTTGCATTACTTGGATAGATTCTGTCTCTTCCAAGATGTCATCAATCCTCAGAAATGGTCCCATAGTCATAGAAACCAAAACTATGCTGACCAGCACTGGCTGCATAACCAGTTGTTAACCTACAGTCATTGACAGTAAACAGAATGCAAGTGACAGAGTCCTTTCTATAATTCCCTCTGTTATGAAGTTAACCTTAGGCAATTCTTAATTGCTGTTGTTACAAAAGAAACATTGTCATCACTGATGTATAACTGAAACAAATGGCAACAGAATGAACTGTTTCTGTGTATGAATATTTATTCAAATTACAAATATTGAATAAAGATAAATTACCCAATCTGAAGCAATAATTTTCTGACCAACTTGGAATGGCTTATTTTTAAATCAATACCACTTCCAGATAAACGATTTAAAACTGTCTTGGTGCCCACTGTGTGCTGGGAAAACCCTATTCCGTTGTTTCACTATGAAGTTTTAGCATGAATGATTTGGTAAAGAGAAATACATAAACCAAAACTTAAAATGGTAATAAAAAGCCACGTAATTTTAAGGTGTTTCTGGTAGAATGTTTATTCTAGGATGAATATCTCTAACACAAAATAGTCAAGTGCACTTATGATAAGGTTTAAGTCTTCCATTTACTCAACGGTTTTCACAAAAAGCTACAACCACCCGCAGTTGATCCTGTAAAGTTACACAGATTGGAAAACTGCAGAATAGTCTACAGAAGATGCCAAGAGTTTTTTTAGGAACTAGCTAAGAACTATAGGCACTTAGGTTCCATTTACATTTAGTAACTGGAATTAAGTGAGTGAACATTCCATTGTAAATGTCTTACAACTTCATTCTTCTCATATGACTAAATATGATTTGAAATATAAAAAGAGAGACTGGCTTATCTCTGGTATCTATGGCTAGGGAAACTAAGAAACGAGTCAGGAACTGCTTCATCTAATCATCCCATGTAGCTACGAGAAGCAAATTATATACTCTGGTAAACTGAAGGAAGCACACTGTCCTGGTTTCAATTAGAACAGAGTTGATTTTCTTCCTAGTAGCTGAACTGTGGAAGAGAGGCAAAACTATGAGTGTTTCAACATTAAAATATTTACTATTTTGCTGCTGTTCCAGGGACTCAGCTATATACATTGACAATGCTACATAAGAGAATTATAATAGAATAACAATTATAATTATAATTATTATAGTACAGTATATATAGTTTATATATTACATAATTATATTATCGATGAATTTATGATATATCGTTCTAATATTACATCATACATAAGATACAACATATTTATATATTGCATAGCATTGATGTATATGATTATATAACATACAATTATGATATTTATGATGGAATATTTTTTATTTTATTTTTTTCCTGAAGGTCTTTATTTACCTTTTCCTGCTAGACCAGTACTCTCACTGTTTTCCCAAGGAGTGCTTATATGTCCAGCCTCTATGATGAGTAAGCTCAGAAGTATGTTGGCATGATTCAAGCAATCTTTTACTCCCATTTACCTACAGCAACCCATCATACCACTAATGAGTATATACCAAGTGCAAAGCAGTATTAAATTCTATCATTATGAATCTAGTTAATAACTGATAATAGTTTAAATATACATATCTGACTTACTCTATAGGAGTTTTTATTTATTTAAAATTTTGTGTAAATTGTTAGTGGAAACTAATATTAATGCAAGTTAACTTCCTACCTTTTCTTCCACCCTGAAGACATCTCACTAGTGAAAATTTTGAGATTTAAAATGAATACATTTCACAAAATCATAGAAGTCTCAAGTTGGAACAGAAAAAAATATTTTAACTTCGATCTACTAGATTAGACAAAGTATTATATTGTTTCTTTGCAAAAGAAAGATTCCCTATGTTTTCCAAGTAGAGGAATAGCATTTTCCTAAATTTGGAATGCCTTTAGACTTCAGTGTGATCTACAGAAAAAAAAAAAAAAAAAAAAAAGAGAAGTTTCATACATATTTATATTCCCTTCCCTCAGAACTTCACACAGTAAAACTTTAAGTTTCAAAGAAGCTTTGGTTCACATATTAGTGTTAACAAACAAGGAATAAAAATTTCAACCGTATCAGACACTTCAGAATACAGTCTGCATTGCAGATTAAGACTAAACAACTTTTAATTAGAACATCATCTAATAATTCACCTCCATATTGGTACAAACAGGGTTTTTCTTTCAGAGAAACCAAGTTAAGTTTTACAAAGGGAAAGTAGGTTAGTTTATAACATTTTATGTCTCTATGTATTAAAAAACCTTCCAATAGACTTTTCATGCTCAAAATTCAGAACATCCTTTGAGCAGTTCTGTTTCTTCTTCTTCCCTAATTGTCTTAAGCCTTTGAACTGGAGAAACTGTACTTATCTTTCTTACATGTATTTCTTAAAGTGAAATTTTGAGAAGTACAGCTTCCCAAAATAATTACTCTGGAACATTCTTATGCCTGGCTTTCACTGCTGTCCACAATTTTATCATGTTTATATCCCCTTCTGGGTACTACTACTTACAATGAATACAGGACAGTAATACCTTACTAAGAATTTTGTTAGTGTTGTTAGTTTTTTTTCTTTTAAATCAATACCTGTAGGAAATGCTGCCCAAGAAATAGCAGGAGATGTAGTCTGCTTTTCACCATTTCCACACTCATAGCTCTCTGCTGCCTACAAACAGGGAAGAAGTGTTATTATTTTCTTACAAAATGCTATATACTCTTATTTAAAAAAATTAAACATACTTATCTACCAAAGTTTCCAGGCATATTTTCCTAGTGTAAAGCAGAACATGAACTTAAGTTTCTAAACTATTTATTTAACTACTCTGAGCATGCATCTTACTACTTGTCAGAACACTACAGAGAACTGAGTCAAATATAAACCATCTATAAAGCACATATAATAAAGGCCTCAGTTAGAAAGGGAGAAAAACTGTCAACTACAAAATTGAATATCAGAGAAATTAAACTAATGTAGAAGCACAATAGACCATATATTTGATATGCATAGAAAGACATGTTTATTACTGAACAAATATAAGTTACATTTAAGAACTGAAATCTAGTTTAAACAGATTTATATAGAGAATATAATATCTACGATTTAAGTTTTTAATGTATTTATCATCCCCTATTTCTGTTCTACACAGGAATAAAATATTACTGAAAGTATGCTACTATTTAATTCAATTTGACATTTTCATGAAGTTATAATTAACAGAAGCACAGTTGTAACACATTTCTTAAAAAGAACACTGCCAAAATTGTTTGTGTAAGTAGTTTAATATCAAAATTAAGTCATCAAAATAACATACCTCAAATCCTCCAAAATCATCATCATCCATCTTTCAAATGGTACTAGAATATAGTTAAAAAAAAAAAAAGATTTAAAAGCAAAAACAAAACCACTAAACAGATATACCCTGTCTACTTATAAAATAACAATAAAGATATTGTAAAACAAAAGTTACGGTGTTAAAGGTAGAATAAGCTATAGCAGTCAAATCCTAAAAACCATCAGCATGAAGTAATACAGCATTCTGTACTACAGGAAATTGGGTATATCGCATTGATCAGTTTCATAAGAGAAACATGTTGATTTTATACTATGTTGATTTTTTAACTAGAAAGCTAAAGAAATAAACGACTCACATATCGTACCTCAATTAAATGACAGATGAGTAAAGACCTTCACTTAGATACAACTGCTTCCTAGCTCATCTATGTACTCTTCCTAACATCACCACCTTCTCATTTAGAAAGAAGATTCCATCTTTCATTAATTCCGTCATGGAGATAAGTAGTTATAACAAGTTGCCTGAAATCTTTCAAATTCACAAGTTCAACAAAAGATAACCTAAAGCAGAATATTTTCTCTCAGAATACGAAGGGCTAGAACTTCAAGCATGGAAGGGCTCTCAAGGGCTAGAACTTAAGAAGAATGTTTTTATTGATCAAGCTAAGTAACAAAACTTTCCATTTTTGAGATGGAATTTGAGAATCTTCAAGGGAAAAGATAAGCACTGCCTATCAATATTGTTGAAGATCTTTTCAAGATAAGAATGTAGCAAGTTTTCCTATCATTTTAAGATAGAAAAATAGAGTTATTTTAAAAGTTATGTCTATTGCTCGCAAGCTTTGTGGTCAAGAACCCAGTACCTCAATAAATGGTACTGAAACCAAATACAAGCAGGATTTCTGACCATCAGATTCCTAATGATGAATTTTCTTCAGTAGTAATGAATGTGATCCAATTTAATGGAATGAAAATCTACATTGTACTTTGTAGTTCTGTACCATGTTAACAAAGAAAAGTGTTTTTTGTTGTTGTTGTTTTCTTTTTGTTTTTTGAGTTTTAGTCCTGAATTCTGTGGCATTTTGATATATTTATAGTTAAATTGCCATTCCTTTTGCAAAAATGCAGAGTAATTCAGCTAATGAAAGTAACTCAAGATATACATGGCTCTTCATGGAAGTTTATAATAAGTATTAGCTCTTAATAAGAATCGTAATATATGAATGAAGGACAATCCAAATAAAATTTTTGTAAAGTGTCAAAACATATACAAATGAAATTTATTTCAGTTAAAATAGATTATGATCTGGAGAAACTTAACACTGTAAAAACATGCTCAAATAGAAGAATTCAAAAAGTTTGAAGGACATCTCCAAATTAGTATCAAAAGTGGACACTTACAGTTTATATCCGTTGAGAAACATTACTATAAAAACACTAATTCAAACACACATCTTTCAAATTTTAACAAAATTATTTTCAAGTTCTTATTGGTAAATTTATTAAATCAACACTTAAAATGTGATTAGATAGATCTAGTTAAATTAAAATAGAATATGGTACAATATCCATTTCTGGTTATAAGAAATACTTGTCGTTTTAATGACTGCAAGGGTCTTTGTTTGTTTGTGAGGAAGAACGTTGTTGGGTAGCTAGGCAGTCACCAACAATACGGAGTTTAACACTGCCGGATTCTGCACCTGGGATGGGGCAACCCTGGATATACATGTATGTACAGACTGTGGGATGAGAGACTGTAGAGTGGCTCAGCACAAAGGGACCTGGGGGTTTTGGTCAATGGAAAGTTGAATATGAGTGAGTGTGCCCTGTCAGATAAAAGGGACAATCACATCCTAGGGTGCAATAAGCACAGCATTGCTAACCCATCGAGGGAAGCGATTGTCCCACTCTGCTCTGCACTGGTGTGGCCTCACTTTGAGTACCATGTGCAGTCTTGGGCACCACAATATACGGACATACAACTATTAGAGGGTGCCCAAAGGAGGGCTACAAAGATGGTGAAGGGTCTAGAGGGCAAGTCACTTTGTTCAGCCTGGAGAAGAGGAGACTGAGGGGAGACTTCATGCTAGCCCACAGCTCACAAGGGGAAACAGAAGGGCAGGCACAGATCTCTTCTCTCTAGTGACCAGTGACAGGACCTCAGGGAACGGCATGAATCTACATCAAGGAGGTTCAGGTTGGGTATTAAGAAAAGGTTCTTAACCGAGAGGATGGTCAGGCACTGGAACAGGCTCCCCAGAGAAGTGGCATCAAACCCGTCAAGAGTTTGAGAAGCATTTGGACAATTCTCCATATGACATATGGTCTGATATTTGGGTGGTTCTGTGTGGAGCCAGAGTTGGACTCAATGATCCTTTTGGGTCCCTTCCCACTCAGGCTATTCTGGTTCTCTGATTTTTCCAGAGCTATCACTGGGAGATACTGTCTTTCCAAAAATATGTTACCTCTTGCATAAAAGGGTGCTTTCTGCAAGAAGCAGGAAACAGGACCATTCCAATACTTTAAGAACCACGCTGAAAAAAAAATTAATCAAGCCAACTTTTAGGAGTCTTTCAACCTTGAAAGTACATGTTCATTTAGCTCTAAAAATATTTGAATAATTCATTGCAAGCTTAGCTGATAACAATGCTCAAAGTATCCGCAAATATACCATTTCTCAACTCTACTCCCTATTCTTGTAATGGAAACACAATGCTGGTATCAATAAGCTGCATTACTAGCCTAAGGCTTGACAATGAACTGCAACAGCTTTAGTAGAAGCATTTTTAAAATCAGGCTATTTTAAGATGGGCTATCAAACATTTCCTTTCTCACAGTCTAAGAGCATTATTTGCAGCATCAAAATAGGAAAGAATACATTAAGCACTGTCAATCTAAAGAAGGATTTTTTTTTATATAAAAAAAAAAACAGCACACATACTCTTACCATGACTAAATGTGGTCTCTTTAAGTATGCCTGATACTGGAATTAAGTAACTGTGAAATTGGGCAACAAGTAATCAACCTCAAAATTACAGATTCATAGAAATTACGGCTGGAAAAAGCACAGTAGGTAACACAGCCCAGGCCATTTCCAAAACATTACAGTTCTCCAGTCATGTCCTACAAAGCTTGAGAAGCTCCCCAGAGTCACACTCCTGTGAAAAGAAAAAACTTCCCATGGATTACGAAAATGTAAGCCACTTCATTTTCAGTAAAGATTAGATTTTATGACCAGGTTTGTAATCACCAAATTATACAAAATTAGACCAGAAGGGACCTCAGCAAGTTATCTCATCCAAGCTCCTGCTCAAAGTAGAGCCCACAGTGATCAGGTTGTTCAGGGCTTCATTCTCTATGACCGACAGATAACAAAGCATGATTAATGTATATGTATATCTGAGATGCTTGCAAGCTTTCCTATACAAAATGCAGCCACCCAAGCTTGACCAGCAGCTTAACATATGTCACAAGAACTTTGTGAAATGCACTTACCCAACACACAGACCAAAGTCATGTTTTTATACACAGGAAGATGAGTGGTATGAGTGGTCTTTCACAAAGAATAATGGAAAAAAAGACCATCTTCCCCTCTCCAGCTGTTAGGAGAAGGACTGTTGTAATCCCACCAGAACTCTCAGTTTTCTTCATATCCAGAAGTGGTAGAGACACCAAACATTAAACAAAGAATGATTCTTCATTCACTTAAAAGTTTACCTTTGATCAGTAAGAATTCAAATTAATCAAGTCCTGATCTATTTCCTGATAAATCAAATATGTGTGCTTCAGTAACAAAGATACCGGTAATTTTGCCAGGTACTTTCAACTGGACACATTTACGTAGTCAGTAATTTTGAGTGTCTATCTTACTTGCAGAGTTTTGTACATTTTAAAGAAACAACTTACAGAGCATATCGCTTTTTGTTTTGTCAGAACAGTATGTGTGGAGCTGGCTCAGGGTGGGGCTGCAGCATTTTTACTTCTGGCAAATACAGCTAGTAGTTAACCCCTACCTATGACAACATATCAGTTTTACTTGCCTGTTTTTGCTTACTAAATGACTCATTCAATGTGCTCAATCTAGGACAGGCTTTTCTTCACCGGACATAACATAGACCGCATTATTTGAAGAACAAATCTTTGGCCGAAACTGCAGGCTCCAAAAAGCCTATCCAAAATATGTATGAGAAGCAAAAAAAAAAAAAAAACAGTCATTTAGAAAGCATAATATGCCACATATATACATTTATAAAGCATACATATAGAAAGCATCACAGATGCTGTGACAAAGAGCAGAACAGATGATAAACTAGTTATTGAAAAACTTCAAACCAGCTCACGTTAACTTCTCCTCACAGCTCTTCTGCAAAAACTCAAAAAGCCCATGGGCAATTTCAAAATGAGAACAACCTCTTTTTCCGCTCTTCTCCTGACCTATACCCATTAGTACTCCACAATAAGCATTAGGGCATCTTAACAACCTAGAGTAGCTACTAAGTCATTTGTTAGAAATTTCTGATTACAGAATATACATATCCCTAAAGGACGCACATCTCCACAAAGACCAAAATATGAATGTTTTGAAATTGGAAATTAAAGTAACTTTAGACTGTCTGGAAAGCTGTTTGTTTGTTTTAAGAAAATTTTAATTTCTTCCTTCACTTCTGCTTGAGATCTCAACACTCAAAGCAATTTGTTTAATAACAATCAGATCATAATCAGAGCAATGTATTTCATTTACTGTGGACAGGAATTCAGTATGAAGAACAACATAAACATTACCAAAGACCACTGTCAAAACAAACTAAACAAGTGCTACTAGCAGAATTGGCAAGGTGGGTCTTTATTCTGAGGGGTTTGCTCATTCCTCGTTTTAAGGCCAAATTCCTCTGGCATCACTGTTAGGTATCAATCCCTCCTAATCACAGGTTTAACAAGGTACTGAAATATAGGTGATTTTTCACTCTTTCCTTCAAAAAGAATGGAACTACAAGATGCAATAATGCTCAATTCTTTAAATCACTGAAGAGTTCAATCCTTTTAGTGCTTTATTTTTGTAATTTCCAATTCTGTAATTTTCCTTATAGCAGTATGTTGTTTGTAATGAAAAGCTTATGCAGATTTTAAAAATAGCTGGCTATACAGTAAAATTGAATGGAAAAAAAGTCCTACATGATCCATGTGGTTAACATTCGCTTAGTTGTTTGTTATTTATTCAATGAAGAGTTCACAACAACATTACAGAAAAATAATTCAGGTTTGTTTTGTTTTGTTTTAAACAGGAAAGCATATTACAGCTCCTACATTCTGCATTCAAATTTCAGTATTTATCATCTGTTTCTAAGAAGTGAAGTATACACTTAACAAGAGGCAAACATCAACAACACCATGAGGACCTAAGACTGGAGTAATATTTATGACCATTATTCAATTTGAAAACTTTGACCATATTAGTAGTTGCAATAAATGTGATCTTTAAGTAAAAAAGATGTTGGAATTAAAAAAAATTACACAAGACTTCCATGAGAAATTCAATGTTTATGCCTAAAGCATAACTAATAAATTAGTTATATAATAATAAATTGGTAATTGTTTCAGAGATACTCAAAATTCTTCTACTATTAAGAAATATGCTATTTCAAGTTGAGTACTCATTACTTTGAACAAGTTACAAGTATTTAATGAGGTATCTAAGTCCTCCTAAGTTCCCGCTCTGTTCTGTGCTGGTCCAGCCTCACCTCGAGTACTGTGCGCAGTTCTGGGCAACACAGTACAAAAAGGGCATTAAACTGGTGGAAAGTGTCCAGAGGAGGGCGATGAAGGTGGTGAATTGCCTAGAGGGGAAGACATATGAGGAGCAGCTGAGGTCACTGGGCCTGTTCAGCCTGGAGAAGAGGAGGCTGAGTGGAGACCTCATCATGGTCTACAACTTCCTTGTGAGGGGGAGCAGAGAGGCAGGTGACCTCTGTAAACACCAGTGATAGGACCCGCGGGAGTGGTGTTAAGCTGAGGCAGGGGAAGTTTGGGCTGGACATCAGGAAGAGGTTCTTCACCAAGAGGGTGGTCGCACACTGGAACAGGAGTTGGACTTGATGTTGGACGCTAATGCACGCAGCATGGGTAACAAACAGGAGGAGCTGGAAGCCATCATGCAGCAGGCAGGCTACGACTTCGTTGCCATCACGGAGACATGGTGGGACCACTCTCATGACTGGAGTGATGCAATGACTGGCTATAGGCTCTTCAGAAGGGACAGGCAGCACAGAAGGGGTGGTGGTGTGGCTCTCTAATATAGAGAGCCTTTTGATGTTGTGGAACTCGAGGCTGGGAATGACAAGGTTGAGTCCCTGTGGGTTAGGATCGGTAGGAAGGCCAACAAGGCTAGCATCCTGGTCGGGGTCTGTTATAGACTACCAAAACAGGATGAGGAGATGAATAAGGAGTTCTACAGGCAGCTGACAGAAGTTGCAAAATCGTCGGTGCTTGTTCTCGCAGGGGACTTCAACTTCGCTGACATATCCTGGAAACACAACACAGCCCAGAGAAAGCAATCTAGGAGGTTTCTGGAGAGCGTGAAAAATAGCTTCCTGATGCAGCTGGTTAGTGAGCCCACCAGGGGAAGTGCCCTGCTAGACCTTCTCTTCTCAAACAGAGAAGGACTGGTGGGAGATGTGGTGGTCAGAAGCTGTCTTGGGCAGAGAGACCACGAAATGGTGGAGTTCTCTATTCTTCGCGAGGCCAAGAAGGGGACCAGTAAAACTGCTATATTGGACTTCTGGAGGGCTGACTTTGGGCTGCTCAGGACACTGGTTGGTAGAGTCCCTTGGGAGGCGGTTCTGAAGGGCACAGGAGTCTAGGAAGGCTGGGCACTCTTGGCACTCTTCAAGAAGGAAATCTTAATGGCACGGGAACCCACGTGCACAACCCCACGTGCCCAAAGACAAGCTGGCATGGAAGAAGACCGGCCTGGCTCAACAGAGAGTTGCAGCTTGAGCTTAGGAGAAAAAAGGGGGTTTATAATCTTTGGAAAAAAGGGAGGGCAACTGAGGAGAACTTTACGGATGTTGCGAGGCTGTGCAGGGACAAAATTAGAAAGGCCAAAGCTCATCTGGAGCTCAATCTGGCTACTGCCGTTAAAGAAAACAAAAAATCTTTTTGCAAATACATCAACGCAAAACGGAGGGCTAAGGAAAATCTCCATCCTTTACTGGATGCAGGGGGAAATCTTGTTACAAAAGATAAGGAAAAGGTGGAGGTGCTTAATGCCTTCTTTGCCTCAGTCTTTAGCGGCAAGGGTAGTTGTTCTCTGGATACCGAGTACCCTGAACTGGCGGAAGGGGATGGGGAGCAGGATGTGGCCCTCACTATCCACGAAGAAATGGTTGGCGACCTGCTACGGCACTTGGATGTGTGCAAGTCGATGGGGCCGGATGGGATCCACCCGAGGGTACTGAGAGAACTGGTGGAGGAGCTGGCCAAGCCACTATCCATCATTTATCAGCAGTCCTGGCTATACGGGGAGGGCCCAGTCGACGGGCAGCTAGCAAACGTGAAACCTGATCTTCTATGACAAAGTGATGCACTGGGTGGATGAGGGAAAGGCTGTGGATGTGGTCTACTTGACTTCAGCAAGACTTTTGACACTGTTTCCCACAGCATTCTCCTCAAGAAACTGGCTGCTCTTGGCTTGGACTGGCATACGCTTCGTTGGGTTAGAAACTGGCTGGATAGCCAGGCCCAAAGAGTCATGGTGAATGGAGTCAAATCCAGGTGGAGGCCGGTCACTAGTGGCGTCCCCCAGGCCTTGGTACTGGGGCCAGTCCTCTTTAATATCTCCATCAATGATCTGGATGAGGGCATTGAGTGCACCCTCAGTAAGTTTGCAGATGACACCAAGTTAGGTGCATGTGTCAATCTGCTCGAGAGTAGGAAGGCTCTGCAGGAGAATGTGGATAGGCTGGACCGATGGGCTGAGACCAACTGTATGAAGTTCAACAAGGCCAAGTGCCGGGTCCTGCACCTGGGGCACAATAACCCCAAGCAGCACTACAGACTGGGAGAGGAATGGTTGGAAAGCTGCCTGTCAGAGAAGGACCTGGGAGTATTGGTTGATAGTTGGCTGAATATGAGCCAGCAGTGTGCTCACGGGGCCAAGAAGGCCAACAGCATCCTGGCTTGTATAAGAAGCAGTGTGACCAGCAGGGCTAGGGAGGTGATTGTACCCCTGTATTTGGTTCTGGTGAGGCCGCACCTCAAGTACTGTGTTCAGTTTTGGGCCCCTCGCTACAAGAAGGACATCGAGGCGCTCGAGCAAGTCCAGAGAAGGGCGACAAAGCTGGTGAGGGGTCTGGAGAACAAGTCCTACAAGGAGCGGCTGAGGGAGCTGGGCTTGTTCAGCCTGGAGAAAAGGAGGCTCAGGGGTGACCTTATTGCTCTCTACAGGTACCTTAAAGGAGGCTGTAGCGAGGTGGGGGTTGGTCTGTTCTCCCACGTGCCTGGTGATAGGACGAGGGGGAATGGGCTAAAGTTGTGCCAGAGGAGTTTTAGGCTGGATCTTAGGAAGAACTTCTTTACTGAGAGGGTTGTTAGGCACTGGAACGGGCTGCCCAGGGAAGTGGTAGAGTCACTATCCCTGGAGGTCTTTAAAAGACGTTTAGATGTAGAGCTTAGTGATATGGTTTAGTGGAGGACTTGTTAGTGTTAGGTCAGAGGTTGGACTCTATGATCTTGAGGTCTCTTCCAACCTAGAAATTCTGCGATTCTGTGATGACCCTTACGGGTCCCTTCCAACTCAGTGTAGTCTATAATTCTACAATTCTAAGTCTTCTGGCTGGAATCAAAGGTAAACAGTAGGATGATATTTGAAGAAGAAATACAAGCTTTTTGTCTCTTCAAAAAATGGGAATTCAATTAAATTTCTACCTTTAGAAAGGTAGGAGGGTTTATGCTTCTCAGTTTGATTTTTTTTTCCCCTCCCAAGTCTGGTAGCA